AAGGTATGCTAAATATTGGGAAAGCATGCTTGCCCATGCTACAATAACATTAAAAATGGACYGGCACTGTTTGTATAATTTTATTATAAATGAAAATTGCAGAATGGAGAGTGTTTTTCAATTCATCTACTGGSATTTTCTTTAAGAAAAAAAAGAGAGGATGGAAATGAAAGGATCCCTTGATAATCTCAAAGCTGCTGACTCACATCTGCAGAGTGAAACATCTTTCTCCCCTTTTCTAGGCAGACCTTTTCTTACATAGTTTCAGTCTCCCACTTTGCAGGCGCACTGCTCGCTCCTCCACYGTAAGGGTGGAGGCATCCTCCTGGATATGGCATCCTCCTGGATACGGCATCCTCCTGGATACAGCATCCTCCTGGATAACTAAGGAACCTGCAAACAGAACTCGTGCAAGGCAGGTTGTGATAATTAAGTCCGACAGTAGCCCTTTAATTTGAAGTAAAGCCAGGTCTCTACAGCTGCGTCCACTTTGCAGCTAGAGCAACTGAGGGAGGAACAGCAAGAAGTGTCCAAGACCTCAGTGGGAACCCACATCTGAAAGTGATTAATACTCATGGTTTTCTCCGTTCCCATCCTGATGGAAACCATGAGGCCAGTCCTCTCCCTAGCAGTTGATACACTCCGATGAGTGCAGGCCTGCAGCAAAGCAAGGCTTGGCTGTTGAGGAACAGCCCTGTGAAGTGCCCCTGTAAGAACAGCGGCTGAGGCGCTTCAGACTGCGATGTTGCCTTTGARAGCTGTGATGAGTTGGGGAAGTCTCTCGCGCTCGTTGGATGAGTTGGCAGACCTTGAGCGTGCTGTAAGCTCCGCTGTGTTGGCCTTTCYGTCTGTCTGCTGCAACTCTGGAGCTGCAAGAGCTCCAGGAAAGCTGTTTCGCAGTGGGCACAGCACGGACAGCAGAGGCTCACGGAACCCCCATGATTTTCCCTCCAAGGGCCTCCTCTTTAGCAAGGCAGAGGCTGCTGTTGGGAAGGCAGCTCATGGCCAAATGCCAGAGAAGGTGACAAGCGACGGTCCCTCCACTGGGACTTTGGTCACCTGGAAAAGGGGACAAGGGTGTCCCCTGCCAAAGAGGAGCATGGGAGGATGCACCTGGACCCTAGGAACTGGGGGGAGAGCCACATGCTTTCCTGGTTAAGAGGTCCCACCAAAAACATGGATCACCTGCTGTGAGGGAGMGCCCCAGGAGAGGAGGAAGTGTGAACAGGACAGAGGCTCTTGGGCATCTTGAAAGGCTCTGGCTTAAGGTAGAAGAATGCTGGCAGGAGGCAGGAGGGCCATAAAGTCACGTTTGATGGGCAGCAGTGACATGGACCCAGGAAATATGGTAGGGACAGGAAAGAATTCTTGCAGGGTTGCAGATCGGGCACATCTGCAGTTCATAGGAGTGTTTTATAGCTCCACTGTTRCAACTGGCTGTGTCCAAGAAGCAACTTCATCAAACTTCTCACAGAGCCACATAAAAATAATGAAATAGCAGATTACATTTTAGAGTGAACCTTTTGCCTTCTCCTCTACCCACTAGCTCCTCATTTGATATATTGTTACTGTGCCTGGCAGCAATAACAGAGCCTGAGCTATTACACATGTAAGACAGGACTTTTAGTATCTCCATAGGCCAGAAAGCACGGAAGGGGCATAACGTGCCCTACAGGAGCCTCTTGGATAGGTAGCCAAGATGTGGAGGCAGGAGCAAGTCTGGGCCCAGCTGTGAGAGGAACCACCACTGCTATAAAAAGGGAAATCTCCAGGTGTGATGAGGAAAGGTCTGTGATTACTCCCTTTTCCTCTTGTGAGGGGGGGGGAAAATAGCTGACCCTTTGATGAAATCCCTCCTTTCCTGGGTCAGTACTTCCACTTGTACTTAAGCGCAGTGAACTAAAGAGGGCTGGATGGTGAAAGCAGGGCCTGGGGAAGAGGTCTGCACTGTTATCCCAATGTGCCCCGATACGGCGCTGCTGTGACAGTCCAGTTATCCTGACTTTCCACATCTGTTCGGGCCCAGTCTGGCCCAGCATGTGCTCCTATCTCTCTCAGCTTAATCTAATTAAGGTGTTCACTGCCAAAATGTACACCGAGGTGAYTTATCTGCGACCTGCCTGCTCGGGAAATACAAAAGTAATGAAACTCTCCTGGTTGTTATCTGCTTTTGAATAGCCAAGATCTATCAGCTGTGTACGGTAATGAGGGGATGGATTTGCCTAATCTGTTTTCTGACGGTGTCATTTGGGAAGTGAAATGCATCTGCTTGATACCACTTTATCTGGTGGCTGCAACCTCCYGGTAACTTTGTGCTCCCCTTCCTTGACCCACAAATAGCATTAAAAAGCCCYTCACATGGTGCATAGGCTCGTGAGGGGTATTTTTAACCTATTGCACTCAACCATATTAGGTTCTCTTCCCAAAATACCGATTCCCTGACATGCGCAGATACGCTGCGTTAGGGTTTGTTTTTTTTTTTCTTCTTTTTGCCTCTGAAAAAAAGAATRTAATGTATTCTGAGTGAATTCCATGCCGTCATGTACAGAGTGAAGCCAGCCTTTAAAGAAAAGCTGCTGTTGCCACAGAACGCTGATTCTGTTCCCTTTCTGCATTTATTATACCAAATAGCCATGTTCCTTGCTATTTCTGTGCTAAAGTTTGCAAGACCGGGGAGGAAAAAAATTGAAATTTTGTAGCGCAGTGATTGCAATGCCTGTAAATATTTTATGTACTCCTTACTGCAGTGGGCCAGATTTTCTACTGGGTGACTTTGGCTTACCCAAGAGAAGAGCAGGAGTGAACCTCTGGATCCCCTGCTCAGCCCTGGCCTTCTGCTTTTATTTTCTCTTCACCTAGCAATTTTTATTTGGTGAAATTTGGTGAAATGGGTTCCCCAAAACCCCTTTTTATAGGAGGGCTCTGCACATGTGTTTCCTGTTTCCCTGGTCCAGACCCTGTTCCCCCATCCCAGCTGCAGCCTAGAATTCAGTTTCCCGTGAAGTGTTTTTCATGGCGCCAAGTTTTGTGTGTAATTATATGCATTTTTACACTTGCAAGTGCGATTTGCGGTTCCCTTTCTGCGGCTTGTTTGGTAAGTGATGAAAACAACTCCCACTGCTCAGTTGTTCCCGGCTTTTGAGCGCTGCCAAAGAGGATCTGTCCCACTCTAAGGAAGATGAAGCCTAGCTCGGTCTTCTTGCTGTAGCCTAGAAAGCAGGTCCCTTTCTCAAGCTGTCCCTTGATCTGTTCCCTCTCTGGTGAAACAGCACTGCACGAGTTTTGCAATTTTTGCTTTATTTTCGCTCTCTTCATCCCCAATTCTCCGGGGCCAGCTCTGCTTTAAGTGCCCGGGAACCAACATCCCGAGGCAAGTCAGTGGCCTCGGGGCTCCCGTGTCCTTCAGCGCTTTCRAAATGCCTCATCCCTCCTTAAGAATATTAATATCGGGGCCATGGAAAGTCTTCAACAGAGAAATAAATTGCATAGGCAGCTATAAATAGGCAAAAGGATATTCCAGAGTCAACATCCTATTAAATCCTTTTTCTCAGGGTAGATTATTTAAAATGTAAAATATTTGCCTAGTGGGTAGGCAAACAGGTACTACTAGGGTACTACTAGCACCCTAGTGGGTAGTGCCTCATTTGGATTTCTTTTTTCTTGGTGAGAACAGGGTACAGAGGGTAAGGTAAGTAAGAGAAAGGAATATGAAACGGGGTGGGAGAAAGGAAAGGGCGACAGGAGGAGAAGTTCCGCACTAATAGCAATATCCGCTCTATTAGAAAGGTGTCCTGTGAGCTAATAAATGGAGCATAGGGTTAAAGAGGAGGGGGAAAGGAGCAAAAGAGGAAAGGAGACAAAAAGAAAAAGTTAAAAAAATCAAAGTACAAGCAGGTTAAATATAGATGTTACCTGAAGAGAGTATTTATAAGCATAAATAGCTTTTTTTGGGGGGGAGGGGGGATAATAAATATGGGTTTCTTTTACCCTTCCTCATCCCTTTCCCACACAGATGTTTTGCTCCTATATCCCACTATGGAGGATACCATCAAAGCAGACACCCGTTTTGGACCTGCTGGGGGTAGGAGGGCATATGCTGCAGCCCATGTTGCTCTAGGGATTTTGTCTGCTTTGGTTGCTCTGGGTCTGATGGACAGTGCTCTCCCAAGATGCTCATCAGCAGATTTTGGTTTTTAACCCTAAATAAGAACATGGAGCTATGGCTGCTCTTCCAGGTTTGGCATTTTTCTCTCGATCCCTAAATAGATTTCAGTGTGGATGGGGACATGCTTCACACGAGGCCAGGGCAGCCTCTTTGAGGCTCCTGAAGGTCTTCTGAGCACAGGACCATATGTCTGYTCGTGACCAAGCTTTGCTCAAGGCGGGGTTGTGGCCCACAGTGCCACCATGTGCTTTGGGGGTGAGCTTTCTTTTTTTCTAGTTGTTAAATATAAACAGCAGTAGATCACAAAGTGAAACAGCAGGGTGATTTCTGAAGCCATTCCAGATGCCTCCAAAACACAGTGAGGTCAGCTGGAAAGGTCCCTGCCATGCCTGTTGCGGGTGAGTGTCTGCAGGAGGTGGTGGGGCCTTCCTCACACACCACCCTCCCCGGCACCCGAGGGCAGGGGGGATGATCCCTTTGCTCCTGARAGGGAGCACGGACCTGGACCCGGCCCTGCCGAGCCGAGCAGGATGGTGTCCCGCTCTTGTATCCATGTATGCCATTCAGAGGAGGGTGCCCCGGCCTCGTGGGCACCACGTGGACCAAATCATCCTAGTTACCAAGAGAGAGGGCAGGACAGGGTGGTTTGCACCMGCTGAAATGTGCCCAGCCGGTTTTGCTCCCCCCGGCTTCTGTTTCCCTTCCTTCCTTTCCTCTGCCTCTCCCTCCTTGCTGCAGCCCTTCCCTACAGACAGGTATACGTTGCACAGAAGCCCCCCGTGCCACCCCTGGCGCCCGCGGGGGCAGCGCTGACGCGTGTGCGTGTCCCCCGCAGGCCCTTCATCGTGCTGCCTCCGCTGATGGAGTGGATCCGGGTGGCCGTGGCGCACGCCGGCCACCGCCGCAGCTTCTCCGTGGACAGCGACGACGTGCGGCAGGCGGCGAGGCTCCTGCTGCCCGGCGTGGACTGCGAGCCTCGACAGCTCAAGTAAGTGCCCCGCTCCGAACGCCCCCGGGGCCGCGTCGGCCTGCCCTTCCCGAGCGCCGGGAAGGGAGCAGCGGGCTCCGCGATGCCCTCGGAGAGGCGCCGCGGGGACGCGCGCGCCCGGCGCTGGGGGCGTTGCGAAATCCGCCGCCCGGGCGGCCGCGGATGTCGCTTCCGCGGATAAGCCGCTCGCACGGTCACGGATGTCTCGGAGCAGGATGGAGCCCTGTCCCTGCCCGGTGGAGCTGCCGCTTCCTCCTCGTGCTGGCTCCGGCTCGGGAGCGAGGGGCTGAAATCGGCTGCCGATTGCGGGCTCGGCGCGGAGCCCTGCGGTGCAGTCGGCCGGGCTGCAGCTGCCTCGCAGCAGCAGTGGGTAAAGGGCACACTTAAACTTCTAGGTAAGGCTCCCTCTTGCAGGAAACCGGAATTTTTCATGCTGGTGTCACTTTGAATTAGTTGTGAATGTCAGCCTAGATGATTTTGAGGTTTTCGTATATGAGATGTAACCTTTAGGTTTTCTAATGAAGTCCTAAAGTATTTATTGCCAGAATATGTTTTCAGTGTCTGTTGTGGTTTATTATTATGTACATGAATCAAAGCATTCTCCAGGGCTGCTCTGGACTCAGGAGTCTGTTTGTTTTATATCTTTATCCTAAAAGGCATTATGAATCTGTCAAAGTGGGGATTATTCACCAATATTTCTTAACAGATTTGTGCATAAAAATCTCTTTTCCAGCAGTCTGACTCTCATACAGTCGTAGGTGTGTTCTTGCCTGCAACACGGAAAACAGAGGAATTATCTACATGATTAGCTGTGACAACCAGCTTCAGAGCAGCTGTATTTCGTTGACTCTGGCCTTGACATGCACTTTCACCAAAYAGAATAAAACTTTGCTTTGAGGCCTGCATAAAGATTTTTATACTTGGCAGCTAGTGAATTTTTAATTGAAAAAATCTGTTGAATTTCAAAAGCTAAATCTTGAGACATTCGTATTTCAAATATTGACTGTAATTGTTTCCCTTTGGTGTGAAGATCTTGGCGTTCATTTTCCAGAAGTGTGATGTTTTGCACCCCTCCTGGAATGTCAGGATACTTAGAGGTCCTATGCACTTTCTGAACACCAAGAACTTCGTTTTGAAAAGACACAATTAAATATATCTTCTAGTATTGAGGCAGGATTGATGAYAAGCCCTTAGTAGAAATACTGTACATACTTTAAAAAAAAAAAAAACAAAGTCAAAAGCCATTGAATATTTGTGGATGAAAAACCTCCACAATATACCATTCTGTAATTTAAAGTTATATTATGTCAGCAGGTACATGGAAAACACCATCCATTATTTGGAGAATTTTACAGAAGTTTCCAAATCCTTTAAAGTAGGGATGAGTTGTGTTATGCTCCAGGAATATTTATTAATTTTGAAGAACAAGTCAGTGCTTGGATTTAAGCTGCTATCAAGAATTCCTTTCCTAAGGAAAATAAGTGCTCGCTGTTGTGCCACTCTTGCAGGCGGGACTGAAGAACACAGCCCAGCATTAATGCAGTGGGGGTGAAAGGAGAAGTCTTTTCTGAGCCAAGTCCTGGATTTTGCACCAACCAGGCTCTGCAGTATGTCCTTATGTGACTGCAGGCACCTTATTTGTGTCCCCAAATGAAATCTCGCTCTCCTGCTCTGGCCGTAGGCTGCAGATGAGTGTGCATGTAGCTTGTGTTTGGTGCAGGCTCTGTTGGCATTGCCAGGCTGGGCTTTGAGTGGCTGAGGATCATCTCCTACCTGACTATAATTCAGAGATCAAAGGAAAAACTGAGGTTTTTTTCTGGAGTAGATGATGAAACATCAGGGCATTCATTTGAAATGTTACAGCTTGTGATTTTTTTATCTGTGCTCAGTACAGACCCTTAGCACTTCCCATTGTCACCAGCCTAAGTGCCAGCCTTTCTGACCTCCCTGTTAAAGAGGAAGTGTTAGCAAGTSCTTAGTTAAGTAGCAAGTCCTCAGCAAGCACCAATTCCATAAGTGTAAACACTGTGAGGAGGAGAAACCCAACAGCCTTCCAAGGAATGGCTTTTCCAATAAGCTCTGGATGACAGCTGGAGGATTTTAAATGCAATTAGTTTCATACATTTTCAAGGCTTTTATAGAAACGTCTTAATAAGTGGAACCTTGAAACCAGTTCAGTTTCTAGGCTTTTCTTAACAGSCTTCTTCAGTCCCTAAAATATAAGAACTTGAACCAAACAATTCCTCATGTGTTACATACATTTTTTCCATGTCCTRCGCTGTGACATTGCATCATTCCACAGTGTTGATTCACAACGCATCATTGCAGAAGCATAAAGCAAAATCAAGTTCCACACTGGAAGAATATGCATGAAAAGAGAGCGGGGTTTGGCAGAGTCTCAAAGGCTTTGCAGTTCAGAATCAGAGCAGATAAAAAACAAATGTTCAATTTCTTATCTGAACTTTCAGAGCCTAGAGGTCTCACAGCAGATTCATGTGACACTTCCCAGCTCAATCACATACTCCAGCAGTGAGGTTCCTGATATGTGGCTCTGTAAATCATCTCTGCCTTCTTCCTGTCTCTCATTCCAATTTTCCACTCTTTTTCCCCTCTTCTGATTTTTTTAATCCATCTCCCTTATTTCTTGCAATGTTTTCATCTCCTAAAAGAACTGGCAAGAGGGCTGAAGGAAGTTGGTATAAGTTGCTACCTGTATCCTTCCTAACCTCCTTTAGTTTTATAGCAGCAGACATGCCAGAAAGTTACTTCCCTTTCCAGAGCCTTGGGACATAGGCAGGGATATAAATGTTTAGCTTCTCCCAGGAATGTTTGGTGGAGTTGTCTCCACTTCTTGCAAGGAGGTGRGTTTTGGAGGTGGGTTTTGCAGATGGAACTATTGTTGGCTCTGCAACASCTAGGTGAAACTGAAGCTCGCGTGGATCCAAAGCATTCCTTGTCAAGTGGGAGGCACAGACTTAAATGMGGTCTCCTCTTTTCCCAAGAGTATCGTGTGCCACTTGCAGCACCTGGACATAGTCAGCAGGAAGTTCAATGCAAAGAAACACATCTGGCAAAGGCAGGTGCTAGACCTTTCATGAATGAAGCCTCAGGTGACAGGGGAAATTTATTTTCAAGGAAGCCACAGGGGCTACCACTCTGTCAGACCCGCTCATCTGCTGCAATAAGCAGCATCTGCTGCTGCTCTGCTGGCCCTGGGTCAGGGTGACTGCAAACAGATGTTGGGCTTGGCGGCTTCTCTTCGTCACATCTGCAAGGGAAGTCCAAGCACATGTGCCTCTCTGCTTGCTTAGCCTCAACACAAGAAGTTCTTTACATGTCTTTTCCATACCTCCTTTTGGTAGGAACTTYGTAAGGGAAAAATAGTGTGTTAAGCATGCAGGGGGAGGAATTGCTGATGGAGGACCATGCTGCATATGTAGGCAGAAGAACAGAGCAAGAGAGGAGCACCCTGTATTGCTTAGCACAAAAGCTGCTATACTTCCTGTGAAGGTCAGTSGCTTCCTTTCTGCTTGTGGTCTATCATGGCAACCTGGGAGGATCTGAGGATGGTGGAACAGACCGCCCTAGAGAGAACTGGTAATGCAGGTCACTGTTAACCTGGGTTACAAGTATTTATGCACTTGCTTGGAAAAAGTGCAAGTTTTCTGCACTTTTCTGGCCAGTGAGAGGTCTAAAAAGGGTATGTGCTGGAGCTGGTGGGATGGAAGGGAGGGAAGATGGTTTATTTCTAGATCCAGAAAAATCAAAAATCTGAAAAAAGAAAAGTCCACTTCCAGGGAGGCTTGAAGGCCTTAGAGCATCTAGAAAGGACAATTCCTTTGTGGTGCTACTGAGCAAACCCATGGCRTGTCCAAGGGGCACTTCTTGGAATCTGAATGAAGAATTGAATGCCGAGTGTGGCCCCAGAGCATCAAGAGCCTTCAGAAATGTTCCTCCTAAGGCCAGACATTTGTCTGCAGCTGTAGGGGTGGGTGCCATGTCCCTAATGCCCCTTCTTCATACCTACCCCTTGCCCAGTTCATTTGAAGGCTGAAGAGCTCTGGGCTGGGATTTGAAAGAGAACCAGAGCTAATAGCCTGGATGAATTGACACTTCTTATCTGTAGATAAAAAGCTAGTGTTTTTTCTTGTACATTAGAAAAGTGAGATTGCTGCCTGCAGCATTCCCTACCGTCCATCACAGGCCACAACCACAGCTGTTGCACTGGAGGCAGATGTTGGCAGGAGGAGGCCAGGCAAATTCTTTAGAGAGGTCTGCTGTCCTTTTTGGCAGTTGTACCGAAAGAGTAGTGATGGGAAAGGGCATTTTTGCCATCAGATGCCTTGTGGATGGAATTCCATAGGGATCTGTTTTCTTCTTGCCTCATTCCATACTTACGTGCAGCCTGGCACCAGCAGGGTGCTGGCTGGAGACATGGGAGGCTCTTCCCCGCAGTGCCTGGTAGTCCCAGGGCACTTGCCAGCCAAGGGCAGGCGCTGAGCACAGTGTGCGCTGTCCCGGCCGATGTGCTACGAGCTGCCCCTTAGGTTTAGCCAAATTTACCTGCAGGTGCCAGCACCTCTGTGAGTCCTGCCAGCCGCTGGCCGCGCTCCGCGTGCCCGTGACATGGAGCGGGCAGCAGCGCCGCAGGAGCTGGGCCCGTGCATGGATGGGAAGTTGCAAGGAGCGTGGCTGGACTTGCAGGATGCGCTCACGGATTAGCGAGAGAGGGCCTGGCCGGGCCAGCAGCACTCTTGGATTTCGGTGGCTTAGCAAGTTAGCGCTCAACGTGCTGGGCAATGTGGAGCCAGCCCGTTTGCAAAGGGCGAGGGGCCAGCTTGAACCATGCCAAGGGATTTGCACAGGGTCACGGGCTGGGCACGTTCCTCTTCGTGCTTGGGCTGGGCTCAGAGCATGCCTGGGCTTTGCTGCTGCCACAATAACTTGATCCCTTTTAATTGCTTGCTTGGTCCATCTCCAGGTGAGGAGGAACTTCTTTA